AACTATAATTTTGTATAGTTCCAATCACTCCATATTAAGACTTTTTATGATGGATAATAAAGTCTCAATTCTACAATTCATTCCAGTTCTACCACTTGTAAGCTGTGTGTCCCTGGGCATGTTAATTCTATTGTATGCCTCAGTTTCCTCATCTGTAAAACAGAAATACGGTGACAGCATTACTCTGAGGAATAAATGAGTTAGTACCTGGCACACAGTTAACTACCACCACCGCCACCACCACCATTACTACCAATACTACCACACTTTGGAAAAATGAACAAATAAGAAAGGATAAGACAATTTTTAGAAAAATAATAACATAAGTAATCACCACGGTAATTAACATAGTATGGTACTGATGCAAGAATCAAACAGATCAATGGAAGAGAACAGATAACCCTAAACATTACACACACACACACACTTTTTAATATAATAAATGAAGCATGATAAAACTAATGAAAAATGGGTTACTTAATAAATGGCTTTCATAAACCAGCTAAGTATTTGGAAGAAAATCAACTAAGGGTGTCACTGTACATTAAATTCAAAATAAATTCAGATGGATTTAAAACATAAATGTTAAATTAAAAAAAAGTGCATACAAAAAGAAGAAATATATTTTATAACTTGAAATAGGGACAGACTTTCTCAATGTTAAAAAGAGAAAGAAAGAAAGAAATCACCACAGTGACAACTGAGAAAAATACAATCAATCGATATAAAAAGATTATTCACCTTATAAAAGATCTCTTTTAAGCCAAAAGAAAAGAAATGGGAAAAGGAATGAATGAACAATTTAGATTAAAAAAAATACCCAATAAACAACTGAAAAACATTTAACCTCATTACTAACTTAAAAATGCAAATCAGAGCAAAGAAGTGTGTTTTGGTATCGAAAACCAGTATAGAGCTCAGTATTGGCCAAAGTGCAGAAAGATAAATGCTCTCGCATTGACTGCGGGATGCAAAGTGACACAACTGTCACAGGAGCACCTCAGCAGCATGAGGCAAAACCCTGAACACTCACAATCCTTCACCTTGAACTTCCACCTTCCAGTCCTTCTCAGAGACACGATCACGGCTGGAGAAAAAGGCTGATGTATCTGATGTTTGTTGCCAGGTTACCTACACTATATGTAGGTAAATAACCTAAATGTCCAACACTGAGGGAATAATGGTTAAATCGAAGATGGAAATCCATAACATTAAACATTATACAATCATTAAAATATCACAGTTTTGAAGATTAAAGATTATCATGTCATGAGACCATTCTCATGTCACCCAAACATATTAAAGGAAAAAACCCCAAGCCTATGAAACTATATATGGTATTTTCCCAATTTTGGATGACTGAACAAATAAACTAGGTATAGAAAAGGGGCAGAAACAAAACATGCTAACAGTGGTTAATTCGGTGGTAAGGTGATGAGTTTTTCACATTTTCTTTTTTAATTTTCATTTTATATTTTTAACCAATTTCCTACCTTGAGTATGTAAAACTGAAATACTGAAGAAGACAATAAATGCTGTCAAATAAGGGAAGATGTCACCCATGGAGTGAAACAAATCAACAACAGTCAACCCTACAAAGGCCTTTCTGAGTCCAGAATGTTTACCAGTCTTACTGGTGTTTTCTTGATATCCTGTGTGTGTCCCTATGAGTCCCCATTCCTGCCTAAGGAAATACAACTCAAGCCTGCCCTCTAGGCCTGTCCCAAGCCCCAAGGCTTCCAGCTGGCAGCCACATTCTACCTCCCAGAACAGCAGGCGTGCCCCTGCCTGCCCAAAGAATTATCTTTCTTACCTTTTTCGTAAGAAACAACTCAAAATATTTCTCACCCATAATGAAATTTCTTACATATAGAAAGCACTTAAGAGATATTCTTCACTTGTCAGGGTTTGTGTCTTCCCTGTCTATCTGAATCAAGGCTGTCACCTGCCTAAACGTGGTCTCTAAAGTTCAAATTTGTCATTCCAATTGCCAGTAATAGAAACTGCCGTTTTATATTCCCCTATTTTTGTTGCGTAATTACTTTCATATTTCTCTCTTTTTTAGTATAAAGACAAAACATTCATTCCTTTTCCTTTCTTCATCCCAATAAAATATATGAGATGGGACAAAAATTTCTGCTTCAGAAATGAAATCCATGACCTTGACTGGGTAAGAACCCGCCGCCGGGCAACTTTTCCTACCTAGAATACGAACGTGTGGGTTTGGTCATCAAAGTATCAAATTGGGAGAAGTCTGCTTTTCTGTGTTTTTTAGTTTAAAAAATGAAATTCAATTCTTATTCCAGTCAGGATACGATTTCTTATATAATCTTGCAGATAGACACAAGCACATCGTGTGCACTGCTCTCCCAGGATTTAGCCTCCTCCGAGCCAGGTAAGTAAAAATCAATTCTATGAATTGATCAGTGCCCAAAGGCAGAGTCTTTAGCTGGAATTTCATTTGAAGTACTTCACTTGCCTTTTGAACATTTAAGTAGAGAGGCATGTATCTGATGGGAAAAGAACTAGAGAAAAAATATCATGACGGCTGCCACGCGGCACAACGTCCCCAGCACAGGGAATCGGGAAGTTCTAAGAGGAAAGACTTAGAAAAAGAGGAGGTGGGAGGAGCAGGCAGGAGAAGACGGAGGGTGCAGAGAAGCTGGCTCTGAGGAACAGCAGCCCCCCACCAAAATGGAGGGCACGACACCACCAGCCCTCTGAAATCAGAAACTGCCCTTGGCAGGTTAGAGCTAAAATTGTCAACATCCTCTCACTGCACATTTTTGCTGAGCCCTGAATGTCAGAGAAGAGCAGAAAAGCAGGGATATGAGTAATGTGCCAACCAAAGAAAATGGCAAGTGCCTGGGGCCAAAGGCTGGTGTGGCCCTGGCAGGTGTGGAGAACATGCTGGTGTGGCTGGACAATGGTGAGATGAGGTCCGAGGTCAGTAGGGCCAGACAGCACAGGGCCTTCCAGGCCATGAGGAAGACCTCGGACTTAACTGCTGGTTCATCAGAAACTTCCAAGAGGTTTATCATTGCCTTTTGAGACAGGTCAGTACCATTCAACTTTCACAAATCAAAGTCGTAAGTCTAGAACAGATTAAATGAAACCCATGTTCCACGTTTCTTAACATGGTCCTCAAGTCCCTGTATCACACGGCCTCACCCATCTCAATCAGGACAGTGTGGTACTGACATAAGAACAGATGAATATGACATAAGGATAGACGGAATAGAATTGAGAGTCCAAAATTAATCCTTACATTTATGGTCAATTGCATTTGACAAGAGTGCCAAGACAAAAAAATGGAGAAGGAAGAGTCTTTTTAATAAATGGTCTGGAACAACTGGATATTTATATGCAAAAGAATGAATTTAAATCCATACCTCACATCATATACGAAAATTAATTCAAAGTAGACCAAAGGCCTAATTTATAGTAAAACTATAAACTTTTGGGAGAACACACAGGAATAAATCTTCATGAAATTGCATTAGGCAAAGAAAGCCCTCTTCGATAAACCACCAAAAGCACAAATAACATAAGAAAAATGGATAAACTGGACTTCTCAAAATTAAAAACATTTGTGCCTCAAAGGGCACCATCAAGAAAGTGAAGACAACTAGAGAATGGAAGAATGTACCTGCAAGTCATATATCATATATCGATAACAGACTGGTATTCAGAACTTATAAGGAAACTTACAACTCAGTAATAAAAAGACAACTAAACCAATTAAAAAATGGACAGTGGAAATGAATAGGCATTTCTCCAAAGATGTACAAATGGCCAATAAGCATATGAGAAGATGCTCAGCATCACCAGCCATGAGGGAAAACAAAAAAACCACAATGTGATACCGCCTCACACCTACTAGAATGAAAATTTAAAAGATAGACAATAATAGGTGTTGATAAGGACGTGGAGAAACTGGAACCCTCATCCATTGCTGGTAGGAATGTAAAATGGTGTAACTGGTTTGGAAAACAGTCTGATAATTCCTCTAAAAGTAGTATATAGAATTAACATGTGACCCAGCAATCCTACTCCTAGGTGTATACAAAGAAAACGGAAAATGGATGTCTACCAAAAAACTTGTACACAAATGTTCAGAGCAGCATCATTCACAACAGCCAAAAAGTGGAAACGATCCAAATGCCATCAACGGATAGCCAGATAATAAAACTTGTATATCCGTATAATGCAATTCTATTCAGCCATAAAAAGGAACGAAGTTCTGATAGGTGCTACAACATAGATGAACCCCAAAAACATTATGCAGTGTGAAATAAGCTAGTCACAAAAGACCACATGTGGTATGGTTCCCCTTTTAGAAAATGTCCAGAATAGGCAAAGCTACAGTAGAGGTGTCAGGGACCGGAGCGGGCACAGGAATGAGGAATGACTGCTTAATGGATAAGGGTTTCTTTTTGAGATGAAAATGTTCTAAAATTAGATTATGATTGGCTGCACATACTGTATAGTGAATATACTAGAAAAAAAAATCAAATTCTACATTTTAAATGGATGAATTATATCTTATGTGAATTATATCTCAATAAGTTGGTTAAAAAAAATAACAGGTTAGTACAGTGATATAATGTCTTAGGTGCTCCATTATGTATGTTCATATGACATTTTCCCTTCCTAAATGTTTATTTGTTGTGCATTGAAAACTGGGTTGAGATATTTAAGGAAAAATAGCACAAAGACTTATCTTTGGAGACGTTGGTAGCTGGGCAGCAGAGCCCTCCCAATATAAAATATTTATATGTGCTGAATTTATGTGACAAAGAACTTCCTTGTCATTCAGAGTGATAGTAAATTATATTGTATATTCTTATTAAGGATCAATCACTTGAAGACTTTAAAACTGTAAAATGCGAAACTGGCCTCCCCTTAAGAGCAAAAGCCACTCCGCTCGCTCCAGGGCCAGCAATTCCCACAATGCACACGAAACAGGTGAGTTCAAGAAGCAGCAACCACACACTCACATTCTTCAAGACCGGAAGGGCCAACTGCTCAAAGGACATCACATCCACCACATACTGCCCAACTCGGCATTCCTGTCTTCCCGGCAGAGGCTCCGACCTGAATGAAAAGACAATGAGTTCTGGTTCAAAGGCCTCTGCGTTGGTTTCTGGCTTTTGGCTGAGCCACTGACCCTCTGGCCTTGCACCTATGTTAAATCATCCTTAAGAATCACCCGCACAGAAAGTGCTGGTGTGCCAAGCAGATCTGAATCCATGCTCTCTCCTGTGTGTGTGCACCACCACCAACGGGCCTGACCTTGGTGGGGCCCACCGGAAGCTCCAGGGTGCTGGTGCACCAACGAGCTTTGATAAGTGGCACGAGAAACAGGGCTACAAATCACAAAGTGAGGAGAGCTTATCACTCAATGGAATCCGTTTTAAGCGAAATACGGTATTTTTATACTTTTGTTTTTCACATGATGGTTTCAATCTGTTTTCTTTCTCCAAGAAATCCACCGAGGTCTAAGATTCTTCAAGATATTAATAGAAGCGATCCTGTGGCTCGACCCTGTGCCCAGGGGGAATAAAACACCATAGAAATGAAATCTCAGTACCCAACTCTAGATAAAGGTCCCCGCAGGCCGGATAAGGTGACAACATCGAATCCTACTCTTCTCCCTCCCTGTCTGACTTCTTCTGTGTAAAATCCATCGACAGGCACGCCAGAGGACTTTAAAATCTCACTGGCTTTCTGGATCAATGTTGTTTTTCCAACTCCTAAAAGGGAAAAAACAGAAAAAAGCCAATTAGGAAGTGCTCACTCCCGTGTGAGAGCACACACAGCGCTCACTGACTTGGAGAGCAATCACGGTGGGGAGAGAGATGGGCTGCAAATGGGTTTTCTGAATAGTAACTTCACTTTAATTCTGATTGCTCCAGGTGTTGAAATGTTTAATTTCAAGTAGAAACAAGCATAATAAAAATGAGTAGCATCTTTATTTCAAATTCTGAAACATTGTTAGTTTCATCACATACACAATCCTGGAACCAAATGGCAGTTTTCTGACGACAGTCTCAAGTGCCATTTGCACCTTATGAGACAGGCTTCATTTTCTCCTGCATTTGCTCCCTTTCTTGGGTAGCCACACCCTTTCACCTAGGAAATAAAACTGGTTGTGCTCAGGTCAAAGGCTGGGGGCACTTTAAACCAGGATTTCAACCTTCAAGACACTTTGACCTACATTTTACCAGGGGAAAATCCCTCACTCCAATGGACTAACATTGCTATGGCTCCTGAAAACGTGTCTCTTAGACACCACAAACCCACTAGAAACAGCAGTATTTCTTTTTCACAAGAGCAACCGTATCAGGTTGGCAACCCCTTCTATCACCTCCTCCAGTGTCCCTAAATATTTCTTCAGCTGTCCCAACCCCTCCCCAAATTATAACTCCACGCCTCACGCCCTTATCCTGCCCACCTCTGACCCATCCCTTCCTCCCAGTCTGTCTGTTGACCACTCTAACTCTTACGTGTTTATCAGCACACACAGCTGCCTCCTGGTTTAACAGTCCTGACCACTGATGTGAAGCCAGGCTCTTCACAAGCATTTTCTCAGTTAAATCCTCATCACCACCCTCTGAGGCAGGTACCATTCTTGTTCCTATTTTACAGATGAAGAAACTGAGGCACAGGGAGGTAACTTACCCAAGGTCACACAACTAGTAAGGACCATACATTTTAACAGGGGCCTTTATCTGTCACCATGACTGTTTTTATGAGCCTTGTTCCCACGTACACTGAAATCAGTGGCATCATAATTACCCCCCAAAATGGAAAAACAGGAAAAACTTGTAGCAGGCCTTCAACAGGGCTAATTTTGAGATAGCAGAGTGTTAGTAATATTATGGTGGACCTTTGAACAACACAGTCCAAACTATGCAGGTCCACTTACAGGTGGAATTTTTTCGACTGACCCGAGTACTTCAAACCCTCATTGTTCAACTGGCGGTTGGGAATCCGCACATGCAGAGGGTTGACTTAGGTTCTATGAGGATTCTCCACTGCGAGGGCAGTCAGCACCCCGAACCCCTGCGTTGTCCATGGTCAGCTGCACTTCTGTGGCTGCCCACAGAGTCATCAGGGTCCCCCAAGAACCCTTTGAAGCTTCCTTCAAATATCTGTTATTCTTAATTCATGTTTCTCTCCTCATTTCCCACAAACAATGGCATCTGGCCTCGTGTTACATGAACAACGCCCAGAGGATTCCAGCCACATGCTCACTGTGTTGGGTTTTAAGCCAAGCTCTGTCCCTCAGTAACTGCTGAAGCGTATGTCTGATGCAGGCAAGTGGCAGCAGGCAAGTGGCATTGGTGGGTAGGTAAACACTGGTGGACAGGTACACTGGTGCTTTTCTGAAGGGTAATTCCAATGTGAAGAGCAGGTCAGAAAGCTCCAGAATTATTCCGGTTCTGGTTCTTCCATCAAGCAGACCCTGAGATAGAGACAGGCTGGTAGGGTGGTAACTGCATTATCAAGCAAGTTACCGTTGTGGGTCGCTGGAGCTTAATCCCACTGGGGGATCTGAGGAGACAGTGTTGGACACGTGGCTCGGAGTTATCCTGTCTGAGGGGTGAGGACATAGGGCGCTTCCTTCCATCATGGGTTGGAGGCTGCTCCAGCGGGACAGGAAGGCTTTGGCCCGTCAGACCTGTCCTGTGCACAGGCTGAGTGGGCTCCAGTGACCAAAGAAAGCCCTCCAAGGTGGGTCACAGGTGAAACGGCTGACATCAGGAAAAATGCTAAGTGCCAAGGAGACAAGGTGGGGCACTGACAGCAAATACAACAAAAAGCGGCCTCTTTGACAAGCTGCATTAGCTGATGGTCTGAACAGGTGGAGAACATTCAGACAGCAAACAGAGTTTGGGATTCAGTTCGTGATAGAAAGAAACTAAAATAAATGGGGGGAAAAAAAGGACAAGAGTTCCAAGCAGAAAAAAAGTTGTGCATAAAAAGAAATTATAGATTACTACATGGCTCCTGGGTGATTAGCTTTTACACAGTCATATTACTGTAAACACTGACAACTGAGCTAATCAAAATTACATTATAACTGATGTAGGAAGATGGGCAGAAAGGGAAGGTGAGTGGGTTTGAGGACAGACATAAGAGAGCTATGCTGCAGAATTATTTGAGTCTTTCAACTATGTGTACATAAAACTTTTATAAAGTAGAAAATAGAAAGAAGAACCACTGCTGGCCTGGTCAGCATGTCCCCACCTACCTCCAGGACTCAGGCAGGTACAGTCACAACAACAGGTCACCTGTTATGAGACACACAGGTGTCTTGGGACCAGCACGCTGGAAAAGTACATTCTGAATCTCAAATAAAGGACCGACCAATCAGCTTTCAGAACAGTCCTTTGTGATATTAGCGTGTACCTTTGGATATTGAAAAGTTCTCAAACTACCTTCCTCCTCATCACTTCCCCATTACCTGGGGAAAAAAACTCCAAATTGGGATTCCAACATTGGGATTCTGTGCAATAGTAAGCCTTTGCTACTAAACATAATCATTAAAATAAAATGACAGAGAATTCTAGGTCCAGGATTAGTCTTTGATATCTGAACTCACAGCTAATTTGAACATTAGACCCACCTTGCAAAGGAGCCGAAGAAATCACTTTCTTCATTCTAAGCCCCTCTTTTAGTCCTGCCCTATACGTGTGTAGCACCGTGGTTTAAAAAGCATCTCCTCCTCTAGTCTCTCATTGGCCCTCACACCGTCCGATTCACAGGTGAGAACTCCACCGCCCACGGGATTGAGGGCTTTGCCCAACGACAGGTATTAGAGGGTCCCGGACGCAGGGTCTGATAGGGGGTTCCTGCAGGTACGAAGGCTTCTCAACCTGCAGCCTCATGCGTGGAGGGAATTCGGGGGTCAGTGAACTTGGATGAGGGAATAAAGGTTCTATCTTCAGTTTCACTGCACTTCAACTGAAATTCCCACTTCCTTTCATTATGAAGGTGGGCTGGAGCCACCGCACCGGCAGCAGCGTGACTCTCAACAGAAATCGGGGCCCTTCCTGCCAATCACGGCTGTGGCAGATACCCTGAAACAGCGTTTGTGCACATCACAACCCGTTACTATTGCTGCAGCGGGACACGGCTGTTTACTACCTTAACAAAGACGCCTGATGTCCCCACATCACAAGTTTGTGCTTCTTCTTACCACAGTGGGCTTCATTTCTTGTCCTGTCTATCTTAGGTACTTCAAATCCCGTTTTCTGGGAAAGGATACGTAGGCTTCAGACTACCAAACCTGTGGTTTAAATTCGGAACTTCAGCGGCCAGAAGCCAGAGCTCCGGGGCCGGCCGCCCTCACCCCGCGAGCCCCCAAGCCCACCCCTCGGCCTCCCGGAGGCGGAGACCCAGGCGGGTTACCTGGGGACCCCGTCAGGAACACGTGCCGGGCCATACAGATGGGTCAGAGTGGGGGACGCTGCCCGGGTCCGGGTGAGGGTCAGGGTCGCGGTGGCAATCCGGGATACGGGTCACGATCCACGTTTTTCCCACCGTGTACGTCAGACCCCACCTCCACCGGCCGGAAGCACCGCCCACTTGGCCGCGCGTGCGCCATAGCGCTCGCGCGCTGGTGCCGCAGAGCCCGGCCCCGGCCCGCGCATGCGCTCTCAGCTCTCAGGCGGGAACAGCACCGGCGCTGTTTGGGGGGTGGGGAGCAGGGGCCTGGTCGAGCCCTCTCAGCGCGTAGGTGCTTCAGCCTCCCCGGCGGGCTCACGTGGAGTGTTTGCAAGGACACAGGCATGAGCTTATGAAGATCAATTTCCCCGTTTTACCCCCATAGCATAAGCGTAGAATAACTGCAAGACCCAGCTGGAGGACCTCCCTGTGCAAAGAATTAAGTGGTTTTCCCCCTCACTTGGCCACTTGACATATTTCAGCCAAGGAAATGAAGTGGCCATGGCCTTGGGCCAGGTTTACCTGTAAACTCTCTCAGCCTAACATGTGTAGAGTTTGACTTGTGATCAATCATTCTCCACCCGGGCTGAGAAAGCAATTTCAGTGAGTGCTCAACTTAATTGGTTTGTGCCCACATGGGACCTCCAGCGCTCCCCTGAGCCTGTGATGTACACCAGTCAGATGGCCTCCGTTTCTTGCTGTTTAAAAAAACAATCATCTAAAAAATATATGGACTTGTACAGTGTAGCTATCACCTTCAGCAACATTTATAACACTGCATCACTGGTAATGTAAAGATAATCTACGTTTATCTTTCACCTCCGGGCAAATTGGAATCAACAAGAGCTGACGTAGGCAAATAAAACCGTAAGAGTGGTTTCCAAAAGAAAGGAAACATGTACAAGTCATATGTGTGCTCTTGTTTTTATCAAAACAAAACGTATTTAAATGCTAATTATGTAACATTTTCCATCACTAAAAAGTGGTTTATATTTGCAGGGTTCACCAGAGGTTGGACTATTTTCTTTAGATACTACACCTGGAATTCTGGTAGCTATTAGCAGACATCCATTTAGGTGGCTCAAGGAACATAGAGACTCCAGGTGTAAAAGATTGATGTCTTAGAGAACAAAAAGCAATTCTTCCATAGTTGGATGTTCTTTTTCCATTAAACACCGTTTCTTTCAGTAGTGACTATATCGGTGTCTTCACTTTATGATAACTCATTGATCTGAATCTTTTGATTTGCACAGTTTCCTCCATGAGTTTCACATCAATAACAAAGATGAAATACCTTATATCAGAGATTAACAACAAGAGAGAGGAGGACATAATTAGGATCACATTTTAAAATAAATAGGTTAGTAGAGTACTGTATTGAATCTAACTTTTGCTTACTGTACGACCAACGTATAATGACCTAGGGAACAGGGGATTCTAATTATTTCTTCCTACAGCACCTGGATGCAGGCTTCCTTTGATAGGATGTGGTGCGGTTCTTTATCAAAGCAGTCTATAAGTACATGTCTAAAGTCTTTACAATTCCTAAAGTCCTAAAAACTCAGTTCATATCTATGCTTTACCAGAACTGTCCTAGTTTTAAAACTGTAAGTTTCATGTGTTTGGAACCCCCCTCAGTTCCAGGCAAACCTAGATGGCTGGCCATTCTACAGTTAGAGGACAAAGGAGCAAAGAGCTTTATCAGGGTAAATGCTATAGACAAAATGTTTGTGTTCCCCAAAAATTCTTATGTTGAAAACCAAATGCCCAAGGTGCTATATTAGGAGATGTGGCCTTTAGAGGGCGATTAGATCAAGGAGGCAGAGCCCTCATGATGGGATTAGTGCTCTTACTAGAGATCCTACAGAGATTCTTTGCCCCTTTCTCCACGTGAGGATACAATGAGAAGTCTGCCACCCAGAAGAGGTCCCCCACCTGACCATACTGTCACCCTGATCTCACACCTCCACCCTCTGGAACTGTGAGAAGTAAATTTCTATTACTTATAACGCATCCACTTTTGGTATTTTGCTATTCCAGCTTGAACGGACTAAGACAGAAAACAAGCAGTTTCTTACCAAAAAAAAAGTTTATTATAAGCCGATTTTTCTGAATATGGGATCTTTTTCCTGAACAAATAATCTTGTCAGTAATGATAACTACAATAGAAAGCCTATTCATCATTGGGCAGAAGCAAAGATCACACTACACCTTTACCCACTCTTCCTTCACAGCATGTCTGGTTATCCCCTCCCCCGACATACACACCTTGGTATCCAGTGGTATCTCCCTGGCCTGGACATAGAACAAGGGTTCTGACATATATTTTGGGATAAGTCCTGGGTGCAAGAAAACAGAACAAGGAATATGGCTACTGGGGATGTGAAAATACAAAAGTAGGAAAAAAGGGCAAATGTGGTGACCCTGTTGTTTTGCCAGCCTAGCATTCATTTCCCCCTTGTGAAACTATTGGGTTGTCAGAAAATCATGACGCATGTTTGCGACAGATGGCACTAGTTCATTTTTGGAAGTACTAGAGTCATTCGCATTTATGTTATTGCTATGTCATTTGACAGCTGACAGTTCTAGCGTCATTCTAAAAAAAATTGAGTGATTTGGTTGAGTTTTGGAGATTTTACAAGCTGAAGATGGAAGACCTATCTGTGCATTTTTGCCATATTTTACTGTTTTACTTCCATAAAGGGAAGAACACGTGTCAAGCTTGTGAAAAGTTGAATAAAGTTTATGGTGACAATTCTCTACAAGGACATCAGTGCCAACGATGGTTCATGAAATTCCATGCTGGTGATTTTGATCTCAATGATGCTCCTCGGTCAGGGAGGCCCACTGAGGTTGATGACGACAAAATAAAGGCATTGATCGAGTCAAACCCATGTTACATGAGAGATTGCATCCATCATTCAAGCATTCATGACCACCTGAAGAAGTTGGGATACGTAAGCAAGCTCGATATTTGGGTTCTGCATGAACTCAAAGAAGTTCATTTGACGGTGCGTATAAACATCTGCAATATGCTCATTAAACCTGAGGAAAATGATCCTTTTTTGAAGCAACTGATAACTGGTGATGAGAAGTGGATTGTTTACAACAATGTAGTGCGCAGTCTTGGTCCCAATGTGATGATTCACCTCAAACGACATCGAAAGCAGACATTCATCAAAAGAAAGTTATGCTCTCAGTGTGGTGAGATTTTAAAGGTGTCATGCTTTTTGAGCGCCTACCAAGGAACCAAACAATCAATTCAAATGTGTACTGTTGGCAGTTGGACAGTTTGAATGAATCCATCATCCAGAAAAGTCCAGAGCTTGTTAATTGTAAAGGAGTTGTGTTCCATCGCAACAACGCGAGACCACACACAAGTTTGATCACCCATCAAAAATTATTGGAGCTTGGATGGGATCTGTTGCCACACCCACCATACTTGCCTGACGTTGAGCCATAAGACTTTCACTTGTCTCGCTCTTTTCAAAACTCCTTGCGTGGTATAATGTTCAATTCAGATGAGGCTGTAAATCAGCACTTTGTTCAGTTTTTCACCGATAAAGACAGGTCCTTCTATGAACGAGGAATTATGAAGCTCACTGAAAGATGGCAAAATGTTATCGAACAAAACAGGCAATATATCATTGATTGATCTTTGTTCTTTATAGAAATAAATGACCTTTGAAAAACATAGACAAAATACGTCATGACTTTTCCGACAACCCAACAACACTGAAATTCTCCTTTGAGGGACAACCCTCCCCCAGGCCTAGTCCCTGAATGGAAAGGAGTAGGTCCCCCTCCCCAACTCCAGGGAAGTAGGTGACCCAAGTCTGGCCAATGAGATTGGTCCATCTCCTGGCTCAGTGATTGGCTCCAAAACACACATGATTCAAGCTGGGTCGGCCCCTCAGAAACCCAAGACTTATCTGACTTCTTCCTCCTCCTAACCATGTCACTCCCTGCAACTGGGGATTGAGGACAGCCACCAGCCAGTGAGAGGAGCAGAGGAACAAGGTGGAGGCTTCCCCAGTCACCTCTTACTCATTCTCCAAGGCAGGTTCAACTGTCACTGCTGGGAAGGCTTTTCTGATTCTCAGGGCCCCTCACCAGTGCTCCCTCAGCACCCCCATAATTGTGGCAGTGCAGGGATCTGTTTACATCTGCCTCTTCTCCTGCCTCCCAATTAGGAATTTCCCAAAAGGCAAGGATCTAAAGGATCTTTTCTTATTCATCTCTTTATGTGCAGCACATAGCATGTTACTTATAGCACATTCATCCACTGCTGTGTGCCAGGAACTGTTCTAGGCTCCAGGGATATAGGCGTACAGAAACCAGCATCTGCCCTGGTATGGCTTATATTCTCATGGGAACAGACAAATAGACAAGGAAATGTATAGGATGCCACATGATGGTCAGGCCATGGAAGAACAGAAGGATGGGAATGTAAAGGGAGGTGTGTGTGCAATTTATAGAGGGTGATCAGGGAAGGTGCCCCTGAGAAGACATTGCAGAGCTCTGAAGGAAGGGAGCCTGGTAAAAATCTAGAGAAAGGCAGTCAAGAAAGAGAGATCAGTGCATGCAAAGGTCCTGGGGCACGTGTGCTTGCCCTGAAGGAGGGATAGCAGCAAGCCAGTGTGGCTAGAGCAGATTGGGAGAGAGAGATGGACAGGAGATGAGGTCAGAGAGGCAACAGGGGCCCAGATCCTTCAAGCTTTATAGGCTGTGGTGAGGACTCTGGCTTTTACTGTAGCAGAGTGGGAAAGCCACTGGAGGATTTTGAACAGAACAGCAGCATTATGTAAGTTTGTTTTGGAAAAAGATCCTCAGATATCTGTGTGGACTGTAGAGGGACAAAGGTGGAAGCAGGAAGACCAGCTGGGAGGCTAATGTAAAAATCCAGATGAGAGATGATCATGTGTTTCCTGGCACGTCCATATCATAGATACTCAGTAGATGTTTCCTTGAATAAATGCATAAATAAAAGAATGCCATCTGCACATAGTAGCAGACTGGCAGAGAAGAAGAGCAATGGCAGAGGGGCAGTGGAGTCACACAGGCTTTCCCAGCCTTAGGAGGTGGGTGTCACATAGAGGTAACATTGAGGAATCATCCCCGGTGAAGTCCCTGTGGCAGTCACAAGATTTTGG